AGCTGCTTCTTATGCATTTCCATTTCCATTGTTCTCAAGCTGAGAGCTCATGTTGCATTTCGTTTCGTGCGCTGTTGCACTTACACTACTTACGCTTATTTTGGATGGGATTTACATTTGTTGAAAACTTGCAATACACAGTTCAGGGTAACATGAACCAGGATATAGTGGCCCTGATATTAGTGTAATATTTATGTATGTATGTAGTATGTTCTTTACTTCATTGAAGAAAAATAGCGTAAATAAATCCGTGTACTTGAAAAGGATGGNGTAGAAGAAGATGAAAGTGAAGATGATGACAAAGATAAAAATAAAGACAAAATAAAAAAAAAATAAAATAAAGATAAAGATAAAGGCAAAGATCCAGGTGAAGAGAAGGATTAAGATGCAGATTAGTACTAAGATAATGACTAAGCTTTAGATTAGGGTTGAGACTACTCTTAAGGTAAATACAAAGTTTCACTTCTACCGCGCGTATTTCCACTGCACTCCTCGAATAAACACCAAAGCGTTTAACGTCTAATGCTTGCCCGAAAATTTCGCAACATAAATTCAAATTGTTCTTCTTTTGTAATCCAAGTTGTCGTTAACTTTTTTACGCTCCTCATCAGACATGACAAATTATCTTAAATTTACGGCTTTATGCGCTTTTACACCGAGCTATTGATTCACGGAGCGAGCGAGCAAGCATGCTAACAATCATCTGCATCTTAATACTGCAGCTCAATCTAAAGTAGGTACCTGCCATAGTGGTTGCCATACGAGTACAAGTGACTTATTGCGACAGAGAAATCGCATCGCTAGCCACCCCATCCACCTCTCCGGTGGGTTAGATGCAGATATCTTTTGTCTTACGTGCAGCTTTAAAGCTGCTTCTTATGCATTTCCATTTCCATTGTTCTCAAGCTGAGAGCTCATGTTGCATTTCGTTTCGTGCGCTGTTGCACTTACACTACTTACGCTTATTTTGGATGGGATTTTACATTTGTTGAAAACTTGCAATACACAGTTCAGGGTAACATGAAACCAGGATATAGTGGCCCTGATATTAGTGTAATATTTATGTATGTATGTAGTATGTTCTTACTTCATTGAAGAAAAATAGCGTAAATAAATCCGTGTAGTTGAAAAGGATGAGCAGCTCTAAATTTTATTTAGCTAAGCTAAGAGAAAAATGTTGCTTTTCGATGATAGTACGTGCCGTACTTGGTAATTTGTGTGCAATTCCTTTGAAGAATATACATACTTATGTAAATATGTATGCATGTATTCAACTATTTATTTTCTTTACTTACTATGCATCTCAGCAGCATATATCCGGCATTATTATGCAACATACGCATTGCAGTAACAGGGAAAGTTATTTGTATGCATCACATTTTATTTAACAAATGGATTCGTACATATGTATATATGGAAAAAATCATTAACTTATCTCTTGTAGAAATCACTAAATTCACTCAGTAACAAAATACTTATTTGTATTCCTTCTACATGTAAAGTTTTTAAATATTTACTCAGATATGAGTAATCAGCTAAGCGATATGTATGTGCAAATATACATGTGTATATACTCACATACACATACATACATCAGCAGCATAATTCGCCGCATTTATTTTGCTCACACAAAGCATCCTTCCGGTTCATTGCCTTTTTGTAGTGTAGACCCAAAGCTAAGTTGGCTTATTTCCTCAGTTATTCATAGCAGTATTTGGTAAACCCCTGTAGTGCATTTACACTATGAACACACACATGCACACATTCTTACATATATTTTTAAGGGCCATTCTTCGTCAACNCAGCATAATTCGCCGCATTTATTTTGCTCACACAAAGCATCCTTCCGGTTAATTGCCTTTTTGTAGTGTAGGCCCAAAGCTAAGTTGGCTTATTTCCTCAGTTATTCATAGCAGTATTTGATAAACCCCTGTAGTGCATTTACACTATGAACACACACATGCACACATTCTTACATATATTTTATGGGGCATTCTTCGTCAAGGGACGCCACTTTCACTCCAAAATTAGTTCAATTAAACAAACATCGGTTAATCTCTTGAAAATTCAGTAAAAAAATTTACTTTTAAATTATGAGTAGCATTTTTTTAAATGCAATATGGCGGATCGAATATATGTAACGGAAAAGTTTTTAAAAATTACTATGAATCTGGCAAAATTTTAGAGAATTTATTGAATTCCATATATTGGATGGCGGAATTTTAAAAATGCATCATCATATTCGTACTCAGCGACCCCAAAATGCCCGAATAATAAATTTCATGTGAATCTTCTCATTTTGCAAATTTATGTTCGCCTGAACCAATTTTTGAGAAATGATGAATGAATTTTCAAAAATGTATCTGCCATGTTTGTTCCGCCAGTTTGAATTTTAAGAATTTTTTATCATATTCGTAATCAACGACCCAAAGAACCACCGGGCAACAAATTTCAAGTAAATCCTATAATTTTTTAGAAAACATTATTTAAAATTTAAAATTTGTACCGAATTTTCAAGTCTAACTATAATCGATTTTTTTTTATCTAAACCAATTTTGTAGAGCGGCTTCAGTTGACCGAGAATGCCTCATATGTATGTACTAGGGATATTGCGAATGTGGAATTTTAGACATCCGCGGATGCGAATATTTTTTTAATTAGTATTTAAATTAAAAAATTGGAACATTGTATTTAAGAAAGAGTAACTTTGCTGCTTTTTCGGGTTACAGCCTGTCTCCTAACGGGTCGTAAATCAAACCTGCGCTATTAAATAACAACTCGCTCGAGGCGACAAACTTGAAAAACTTGAAACTTTACAAAATTGTTAATTCCTTCCGATTGACGCTGCACCACTTGAGAGGACTTCAGTTATTTTTATTTTATTTTTTGAGGTTCATTAAGGCGAAAATGACACTGTTGTGTTCCAATTTGGAGAACCAATTCGTTTGGTTGTTTCAGAATTTGGAGAATCTGTTACGTCATCGGCGTTTTTCGATGTTAGTTTTTATAATTCATTTTTAATCCTGTCTTCTATGACTGGTTTGAAAAACGTGTACTTACAGGGTCGCGACGTTGTGAATATGTGGATATGGCTAATAAATAGTTATTTTGTAGGAATAAAAATTTCGAAGAAAATTCTGTTTTGAAAGCCGCGGCTGCCAGCAGAATTAGTTTTTATCTTATTATTTTGTTAAAAAGGTACCCCGTTTTTTATAATAATTTCAATTATTGCAATCACCCGGGTGACCTCCTGGAAAGGTGCACCTGTAATGAATAGCTTGTAATTAATTTTTTTTTATAAGTTAGCTGAGCTTGGCTTTTCCTAGTTGCAGGCAGTCACAATTAATTACTCAACGCTGTCGGTACCATAAGCTATCAAATCCGTTTTGCTGTTCCATTCCATGCGTTCAATGTCTTTTGATATATTTTTTTGAGGCACTTGCACAATGTTAGCAGTCGCAAAAGCTCCACATTGATTATTGCGAATGCGAATATTCGCAACAACCCTGGTATGTACCTATGTACATATATTGTGTAGCCAAATTTCTTCGTCCACTTTTATTGACAACGGATATTTCCAACCGCATTACATGCAAGTTCCGGCCACAAATGGGTTTCTTGGTTTTTCGCAAATTATTAAACAGAATTTTTACAATTAACTTTCATATATCGAACATATGTAATATTGTTGCTGTGGTTACAGCAGTGCACAACCCCCCAGGGGTTTTCGTCAAGTGTTTTTCTGAACGGGCGAGCCTGACATTTCGAAACCGAAAATACCGAAGTACAAATTGGAGATGCATGAGTGTTATATCTGACTTGCGGGATATCAATTCCTAACAACCCCGCCCGACCCTTTCCACGCGACTGTTGCTTATGCAGTTCTATTTTCCCTTTATGTGAGCATATTGTGGTTTAGAAAGCTCGCGCTCTACGTTTTGTTTGATATGTACTCCTATCTCCAGTTCTACATGGTCTTTTGAAGAAACGGCCTTAGGCTAATGGGTCTGTAGTTCAGGAAAACAACCAGCGCCATTTTCCATTCAGCCTGATTTAATCCACGACTACGCTGCTTAGCCAATTCCTGGTCTTCCGGAGCCCGCTACCTGCAACGTCGCATAAAAGATGCCATCTAAAGCATACAAAGAGAAAATGCGCAGCGCAATACCAAATTTGTTTGCGTGCATGAACAGCAGTTGTTAATATCAGTAACGTGTTTTGGGAGCTTCTATTATTCAATAAATTTGCAACATTTAGAAAATTTAAAATATTTATTATAAATGTTTCGAAGAGAATTTACAACAGTGTTGTTGTTTTGTAGTACAATCATGGTACTTCAAATTGTCAGACTTCCGAGGTTGACCCAGTATTTGGGAAAAAGGTTCACACTTTTTGCACAAAAAATATCCAAATTTCATTATTTATGAATAAATAAAACAATAAACTAATCATTTCTTAAGCATAACTTTTTGCGAAAAGTTTTCTTGCAAAAAAAACTTTTTTGCATTAAAACTAATTTTTCATTACAAAAAAAAATCAATCGACTTTTCAAAAAATTTCACTCGCTTTACATTTATATTTTCACAATTTATACACGATTTCACTTGATTTCTTACACTCTTTATACAAAATTTATGCAATTTTTACTAACATCAGCGTTCAAATAAGTCCTTAAACAATGTATGTATATATGTAAAAAAAATACCTGCCTAGTTAAACCAGATATAAAAGTGATTTAAAATCCTGAAATGCAATAAAAATCCCGCAAAAACTGTGCACACGCATACAAATATGTCGCCACATTATACATACTAACAAAAGCAAATGTAATTCACACTCCAGCGCCATACTAACACATTACCAAATTGTCCACTACCACGCCCACACAACAAAAAAACGTCATTTCCATATTTGTATTTCTATGTTTAATATTCTTATTAATTCTTCTGCTTCTTTTCTGTTTTGAACCAACAACACAACCGTCCCACGCGCCCTTACAGGTGTAACAACAATGTTGAATTTCTTCACAACATCCAACGGTTTCCGCAGCACACTGCCCGTCGTCTCCAATCTCACCGCTATGAATGTGTGGGATGGCGTCTGCATGTGCTTCATCTATGCCTCGCTATTGGAGTTTGTATGCGTTAATTATATGGGTCGTAAAAGGCCGCAACATAATGCTGTCTATCGGCCAGGCGAGAATCCTGTCACACAGGTAATAAAAAAGTGCATAGTACATAATGTATATAGCATGCTCACACACAAATTCGTCCAAACAAATATATACATACGAAGACACATTCATTTTGTCTGTCAGTCCTTTTCTCTCTCTTTATCTCTCTCCGTTTCTCTATTTTTCATTCACGTTCCGTATGCGCATTACTCCTTTCATTTATTCATCGAACATTAAAAGCGACACTACTTACTTACCTTCATACATCTACATACATATGTGTATCTCTATCTCTGTCACTAGCGTGCGAAAAAAGTAAAAAGCGGGTTGAGAATTGCATATCAACTCAACCAAAAAGCAATGCGTAATACAATACGAAAACAAAATAAGAGAATTACCTGTAAAAATAAATTGGCTTATCAAGGCATACGCATGCAAAATACTTACAACAATAAATTCGCGTAGCAAAATTAAAATTTCCATATAAAAAATTTGGTTATAGAAAAAGAAGTTACCCAAAAATTTTGTTAAAAGCAATTCTTCCTTCGAAACGGTGTTCATTTCTACTTTTCATAACTTTTCATATTTTTTTCTCTGTGTTTTTCCCCATTTTTTACTTTGTATGCTGTTATGTTATACATTTTTTTTTGCCTTCAACTGGCGCTTTGTTTCTTTCTAACTCCACGCTATAGTACTTTTTTCTATCAATCTCTCTTTCTCTGTCTATGTTTTACTTGCTGTGTTTGTTCGAGTATCTTACAAAGCTCAATTAGTGATTTGAAATTTGATCTCGTACTTGACCAGATTTTTCTCTATGTATTTATGTATAAGTCTCGAAAATTGTGCTGATCTTTCTCTCTTTCTTCTTCGTGTAAAAGGTTTTTAACACACTTTAAAAATTTTCTTACTCGTTAGTAGTTTAGTAACTATTTTTAGGCTTGCTCTTCAAGCTAAATTTTCTTCATTAATTTTCACATTTCTTTCACTACCTTCTTGGGCCAATTCCTCTCTTTGTCAACACCCTAAAAACATCATTTGTCACTTGCATATTCAAGCGAACGATTGAAAGTTTATTTCAGCACTTTTTTATTCTTATTTTCTTTTCTTGGTTTAAAATATCACCCTTTTCATAGTTCTACTTCAGGAAAAAAATTAATATTTAAAATATTAATTTTCCAATCAAAATTCTTAAACTTTTCTCTTTTAATTTCTTAATACAACTCTAAATTTCTGTCTGCAATTAATTTTTTTTTTTTTTGCAAAACCTTTGCAATAAAAAATTGGCTCCAAACTAAAAATTCTTCTATAAACAAAAAAAAAAATTGATTTAACTATTTTTTGTATCACTCCCTTTTCCAATGCCACTCTATCTATCTTATTTCTATCTAAAATTAAAGCCATTTTTCCAAAAACCTTCAATAAAAAATTTGCCTTTATTTCAAAATTTTTGTTTAAGCAAAGAAGCTTTTACATTTGGTATTTTTTATTATATTTTTTTAACAACTAACTATTTAAAAATTTTTGTTTAAACAAAAAGCTTTTACACATTTTGTATTTTTTTAGTATGTATATTTTTTCACCCGTAATTAATTTTTTTTACAAAAGTCGTTCAATAAAAAATTAGCCTCAAGCTCAAAATTCATATGGCCTTATTCATAAAAAATAAAGCAGCTTTAAAAAGGGTTTATAAACTGAAAAAATATATTTTTTAAAGCTATTTAAATCTACTTTATTTTTTTATGAATAAGGCTATTAAATTTTTTGATTTCAACACCTTTTTTAAAGCAATTCTATATTTCTGCCTTAATTTTTATTGTGCTTGCTAAAGAAAAAATTTCAATCAAGACTAATTTCAAGCCCGAGATTATTGTCAAAATAAAAAAATTTCAATATTTTTTTTAAAAATATTTTATGTTATTTTTACCACATTTTTCAATGCAACTGTAAAATTAATATATTTTTGAAACTTTTTTGTTTTTAATTTAGATTCGTATTATTTTCAAACCTTTTCCAATACAACTGGAAATTTTTATCTATATTTTAATGGTCTTTACCACTTTTTCACGGGTTTTCAAAAAAATTTTGTTAAAAATTTGTTCAAAGTTTTTATTTTTTACTAAGTTTTTATTTTGTTTTATTTAATTCATTTTATTAAAAATTTAAACTTTTTATAATTTTTTTCCTAATTTCATTTAAAAATTAGTTTTATTCTCTTTTTTATAATTTTTATTGTTTTTTATCCACTTTTCGGTAAATTTTTCCCCCAATTTCGGGATAAACGCATTACGAAACATCTACGGAAATAAAAAAAAACTTATTTATTTTCAACTAATAATGCCAGTTTGTCTATTTTGAAATTTGTTTTTTTTACACAAAATTTCTTTTAAATCTTCTGCACAAATTTTTTTCACAAATTTAATCGAAAATATTCCTATTAATTTGAGAGCTTTTTTAAAGAAAATCTAATTTTTCTATTCATTTTTTTACCTACTTCTTCCTAACGAAAGAATATATTTTACAATTAAATTTTTTATTTTTTTTTTTTTTAAAATCTTTTTTTTTAGTTGTATATTTTTTAAATTAATTGATATGTGTATTTTACGTGATAATGCCAGTCTTTTGCCAATTATTAACCAAATGTGTCATGTTTGCATTACCTAAAAATTTTATCAACAAATTCCATTTCTCTATGTTGTTCAAAATTTTGACTTAATTTCACTGTTCTTTTTTCGTTGATATTTCATTATATAATTTCATTCGTACATTTGACGTTATTGTATTCGAAATTAACCAAATTCTTATTTGTAGGAAAAAACTAAAATGTACTTAAACCTTACTAAAAGTAGAAAACGTGTCTTAACCCTTAGGTAAAAATGAAAATCTGGTATGAATGTTAAATAGCAAACCTTGCAAAAATTTTGAGTTCGATTGAGAAGCAAAAACTGAAAGTTCAGAGCAACAATTTCTCCACTTTAAAAAATTTCAATTCAATCTGTAAACAAAATTTTACCAAATTTAACTTCACTTTTTTCGAAACAGCACTTGAAAATTCTTTGGAATATTTTTAGTTGCTCTCTCTATCAACTTATAAGATGTGTAACTCTTTCTTCCTAAACTCTAAAACATACCAGATTTTTATGTTAATTTTTAATTTGTATCCCTGAAAACTAAGTAAATAACTCTCGTTAAAATGTACATATATTTCCCCTGAAAATATATTCCCAAATTGGTTCGATGCGCTTCAACTCCACCTAAAGCATGGAAGAAGAAACAAAACGAACGTCCCTGCAAGAAAATAGTGCACTTCAACTAATAAAAAAAGAATATAAGAAATTTTACACCAAATATTTTAAGCAGAACTAACATTGTTCCCAATTTTCGTGATTAATCGCAACATGACCGATCCACATAATAATCGAGCAATCAATCGATTACTATCAGTAAATTAAAAAGCCAAGCAAAACCTGCATTTGACCAAGTGCGCTTGCCAATCAAAAAAATAAAAATTCAGAACAAAATAATATTCTTTTCCTATTAAAAATGCTCACAAACTGACAAAAAAAAAAGATTTGTATGCATTTCGAAATTGTTAACAAAGGTATTAACCGAAATGGTGCTGCAATTTCAAAAAAACTCAAGTATAATTTTTTCTATTAAAACAACAAAAAAAAACTTAAAGTGTGTTTTAGTATGAAATTACTAGAATTATTTTGTGTAAATTTTTCCAGCGTCTTCCAGCGGTTCTAAGCAGGATTGGAGTAATTCTTGCAAGTCCTTTGGTAAGCTATATGAAAAACAAAAATAAAAAAAAAAACAAAAAAACTTAAAAAGAACAAGAACAAAAATTAAACGCTCATGCACTGTACATAATAGTCATAAAAAACGCTAAGCAAAACAACAACATTTTAGAGGCAAGAAAAATATATATAAGTAAATTCTTAAAAAAAAAAAGTTATGAAAATTTGTATCAAAAAAAAAACTGTAACTTTATTTGCAACACTTGCCCAGCAAAAATTTTAAATTTTTACAAATATAAATTTGTTGCTTTGTTTGCCAAACAAACTATCTATTTATAAATTTGGCGAAAATTTATCTTTATCTTGAAGCGCTTCATCATTGCCAACACCAACAGACAAGGTTTGCTTTGTTACCACCAACAACAGCATCCTCAAAGTCACAACCCTCATCAGCGCCTTCAGCAATACTTTTGCTTCATCTACACTTCATCTTCATCAACGCATCGTCAAAATCATAAACAACCATTCCACATACCATCGATGTCCATCTCGTCAACAGCCATCAAAATCACAGCGCCACACTTTTCAACTCGGATGTCCCGCAGTGCTGCAATTGCGCTATACGGCAACGAATGAGCATTCATCTTTTGTACACATACATACACACACACACACACACACAGTCCCACCCACGCCACAATAGCTCATATTCAGCTCACTCATCACAACTTTGGCACCTCTCTTGCCCCCTTCAAAGAAAAGAAACAGTCCTTTTCCACACCACCACCACTCGGCCACGAAACGGCATGTAATTTTCGCCACTACAAAGTCTCCATGAAAGTTTAAATCGTTTTATTCTCTTCTTAATTTTACTTAGCAAACAAAAGTACTTTTATTTACCGCTGGATGCATTATTCCAGTTATTGTTTTTGTTTTGTTTGTTTGTTTTTTTTTTTCTTTTTATTTCTTTTAGTTTCAAACTCGTTGTATAAATTCATTTTTAATCACTTCGTAGTTGCACGCTTTCGATGTCAGCTATGCGCTTCTTCCTCTTTTTCAATTCTCAGTTCACAGTTGATGATGGCCTGGCATTGTGCATTTTGCATTTTATCGATTTTACGCTTTTGGTTTTTCGATTATTCGATGAAATGTTTGATTTTTTTGTTCGATTATGGCGCTTTCGTTGTATATTTCTTCGAAACTACGCATTCATTTATTTGTATCTTTGAGATGATTGTATTTTCTAAATTTTTTTTCGTGTCACACATTCAAATGCATATTTCGATTTTAATCGAAATTAAATACTAAATAAATAAATTAGACACGTAAACTACTAGTATGCTTGAAGTACAACGTTAAAATGAAAAACACACTTTAAGGTCACTTATAATTGGGAAAAATGTTAAGTATTCTTAAAAAGTAATAAAAAATTAAATGCAAAATTGGTAAGAAAAAATATTTTATTAACTGGAGAACGAATTGAGATTCTCAACGCAACCGCAACAATAGCGCTTCTTAGCTTTTATTATAATTCCAGCTTTATACAAATTTCTATGTCCAAATAAATACCCAAAAATAGCGCAATATTTAAGTTTTGAAATATTTGTTGCTACGATTTTTTGTATGTACATATACCCCGATCTGATATCAATGCAAAAAAAAAAACTTAAGGTGGAAAGAAATTGTAAACCCAAATTTGAAACCAACTTATAAATATTAAACCAGTGAACTAGTGCTTATGAATACAAAAAATAATTTCGTTGTATTTTTCATAAAGTTAGTAAAACCTTTATACCTACAAACGCTTGAAAGTACAAAATGTACATACATGGTAAAATTTTATTTATTCAAAAACTGGACATAAATCTCGGTAACCTAAAAACTGGACATAAATTTTGGAAAATTCAAAATATATGTATTTAATTTTAAACCCGAATTTTGAACAGGAACCTTTTTGGATTTAAAAAAAATTGGACATAAATTTTGGTGCTTTAGAAACTGGTCATAAGATATTGCAAATCTTAAATATTTTAAGAACTTAATTTTTAACGGTTCTTAATTAATGGAATTTTATGAGCTCACGAAGACAATAAATTTTTGCTATTTAAAAATTGGACATAATTTTCTATTAATTTAAAAACTGACCACAAATATATGTCCACCATATAATTTAAAAATTTTAAGACGAAATTTTATGTGTAGTTTTTAAAGTGAACTTAAATATTGAAAATTTTAGAACCTGTCCATTAATACACGTTAATTTTATAATTTATAAAAATAAAAGTCCACTTCTAGAATCACGAAAATTAATAACCAGTTTTTAAATGAGCAGTTTTTAAAGTTTTTTTTTGTTTAAACTAACCATAAATATATGCCCGCATTATAAATTACAAAACTATATGTCCAGTTTTTTAATAATGAAATTTTAGGTCCATTTTTAAAGTGACCTGTTATTAAAGTTAACATAAATATTGAAAAATTTAAGAACTAGGCATAAATGTATGTCCTTTTTTTTTTGTTTACAAAAATTAATGTATACTTTTAGAAATTTTTTAAAGTGCACATAAATTGATGTCTAGTTCAAGACTTACATTTTTGTCTAGTTATTACTTTCAAGCATTCAAATATATTTAGGAAGAAATACCCTTCAAAATCTAGTATCACTACCTGCAGACTAACACAACTATTTGTTAAAAAAAAATTATTTTAATGCAGGTCTTCTACAAAACATACCATTTTAAAACGATATACAAGTTTTCATCAAGTAAGTGCTACTGATTTCTATTCAGTATTTGTAATATAAATTTAGGTTAAATAAAAGTACAATATGAACATTACTTTAAATAGGAAAATTACCTAGAAAAACTCGAAAATATCGAAACATTTATCAAATTGTCGAAGTTTGTATAAAAAATATTTTTGAAATTCGAGTTTACTAGTTTTTCGAATTTAAGGCTGTTTTTCACAGTGAAAAGTTAACTAACATTCGTTAATTATTTAGGTAGAGAAATTCAGTAAAGAAATTTAGCTGCTAAATGTAAATTAACTTTTCACTGTGAAACCAG